AAAATTTGCCCTTTTTTCCCTTTTTTTTTTAAAAAAAATTTTTTTAAAAATTTTTTTTTCCCCCTTTTTTTTTTTTTTTTTAAAAAAAAAAAAAAAATTTTGGGGGGAAAAAACCCCGGGGCCAAAAAACCCTTTTTCGGGGGGCCCCCCCCCAAAAACCCAAAAAAAAAAAAAGGGGCCCCCTTTGGAAAAGGGGGAATTTTATTTAATGTTTTTTTTTTAAAAAATTTAAAGGGGAAAAAACCTGGGTTTTTTTAATTTTTTACTTTGAATTTTTTCCCAAAAGGGAAAAAATTTTTTAAACATTTTTTTTGCCCCCCCAAAAGGGGGCCCCAAAAAAAAAATTTTTGGGGGAAAGGAAAAAAAAAACCCCCCGGAAAAAAATTTTTTTAAAAAAAATTTTCCACCCAAAAAAAAACCCCCCGGGGAAAAGGGGGTATTTTAAAGGGGGAATTATTTTTAAGGGGGAAAAAAAAGGGGAAAAAAGGGGGGAAAAAACCCGGGGGGGTTTTTTTTTTAAAAAAAGGGGGGGAAAAAAGGGGGGGAAAAAAAATTTTTTCCCCTTTTAAACCAAAAAAAAAAAAAGGAACCGGGGAAAAAAAAAATTTTTTGGGAAAAAAAAAAAAAAATTTTTTTTTTAAAAAAAATTATGTTTGGGGGAAATCCAAACAAAAAACACATCACTGAGTACCAACCCTTCCCTATTTTTAAACATGGTGGGGGGCTGCATCATTTTTGGGGGAATATGCTTTTCATCGGCAAGGACCCAGGGATTTTTTAAAAAATAAAAAAAAAAAGGCTGAGCTAAGAAAAGGCAAAAAATCCTAGAGGAAAACCCTTTGGGTTTAGTTGGGTTTTCCCCCCAAAAAAAACCCCGGGGGGGGAAAAACCAAAAAAAATTTTAAACTAGTACTTCCAAGAGACATTATTTTTCCTGAGTGGCCTAGGGTTTCAGTTTTGATTTAAATGGGTTGAAAAATTTTGGCAAAAGAAAATGGTGTCTAGCAAGATCAAAAAAAGGGGGAAATTTAAAGGCCCTTTTGGGAATTTTTTTTTTTTTAAAAATAATGGGAAAAAATTTTTACCCAAACCAGGTTTGCCCCCAAAATCTTGAAACTTTCCCATAAAGACTAACAGCTGGAATCGCTGCCAAAAAATTTATTTTAAAAATATTGATTAGGGGGGTTTTAAGCCCTTTTTAATGAAAAAATGGTTTTTTTCCAAAAAACCCAGTTTAAAAGGGTTTTGGGCCCTACTCCCCTTAAAGGGGTTTTTTTTTTTTATTTTTTAAAATTTTTTTCATGGAGAATAAAGTTTAAGGGCATCAAAAATATGAAATAAACCCCCATAGGGGAAAAAGTTTTTGTCCCCAAAAAGTTTTTAAAAAAAATCAAATTTTTAATTTTTTAAATTTTGTTTTTTAAATAGAGGCCTTAAAAACAACCGGAAACCGTTGGGATTCCCCTTTTTAAAAGCTTAACCCGCCGAATTTTCCCCCAAAAAAGCTTGAAGGGGTTCCCCTTTTGGGGAACCACGGGTGCTTTTCCCTTCCCCTTTTGGGCCAAAACCCTTTCCCAAAAACAATTTATAGGGAGGGGGGTTTTGGGGCCCCAATCCCCCCCTTTTCAGCATCCAATCAAATTTTCCCCTTTTGGTAAAATTAGCCCCTAAAGCCCAGGGGGTTGGGTTTGCTGGCTTTAAATAATTTAATGTCTTCCCGGGGGGGCCCCTCCCTTTGGTTTTTGGAGTTTTTGGGGATTTCATTTGGAAAACCCAAATTTTTGCCGGGAAAAATTTTAAAAAAAGTTTTTACCCGGGAAATGGGTGGTATTTGGGGTGAAAAATTTTTGGGTTTGAAAAAAAAAATAATTTAAAAATTTGGGGGGGAATTCCATTTTTAAAATTCAGCTGGGGAACCAAAAACCCCTTTAAAATTTTTTAAAGGAAACCCTTTTTTTTAGTTTTTGGGGTTCGGGGGTTGGGTTTTGTTTTTTAATTTAAATTTTTCTTTTAAAGCCCCAATTTGGGTTAAATTTTTTCGGATTTTTGAATTAATTCCCCAAAGCAACCCCCCCAAAATTGGTTTTTTTTTTCCTTTAAAAATTCCCCCAAGTTTTCCCCCCTTCCAGGGGGAGGGGGGCTTCAAATTTTTTAAAGGGGGAAAATTAAATTTTTTAAATTTTTTTAAGGAAATGGTTAAACCCCCCGGGAAACCCCCCTTTTTCCCCAAAAATTTTTTATTGGGGGTTTTTTTTTAAAATTTTTAAATTTTTCACCAGGGGAAAAAAACCTTTTTTAAAAAAAAATTCTATTTTTTTTATGGTTTTACCTGGGTTTCAATCCTTTTTTACCCTTTTTAAATTTAACCCCTTCCAAATTTTTGGGGGTTTTGTTAAATTTTGGTTTTTTTTGTTGCCCCCCAAAAGGGGGGTTTCCCCTCAAACGTTTTTTTAAAATTCCCAGGGGGGGTTTTTTTTGTGTGAAATTTAAAGGGGAAGAAAAAGGGAATTTTTTTAAGCGGGGGCTAAAAAATTTTTACCAAATTTAAAGGGTTTAAAAATTTAAACCAAAGGATTCCCAAAAAAACAAAAGGAACGGAGTTTAAAAAAACCCCCCTTTTTTTAAAAGGTTTGGGAGAACCAAAAATGGAAAGAAGTGTTAATTTGGAAGGAACTTTTGGGCCCTCCCAAAAAAAATCAAAAAAAAGGGAGACCTTCTTCTCCTTTTTACCAGTCCCAAAAAAAAAACAACCCCCAACCTTTTTTTTGGGCTTTCTTCCCCCAAAAAAGGGAAAAAAAAGGGCCCCCCCGGGGGGGCTGGGGTTTTGGGAAAACAGCCAGAAATTCCCCTTTTTCAGGGTCTTTTGATTTTCCCCTTCCTGTCTATGGACTCTCTGGCCACTCCTACATCCCAGTCAGTCTTCCCCTTAACCGTCACCTCATAGTAAAATCTCCCTGAGGAGAAGCCATCCTTTCCGGTCATGGCATAACGATCAAACCTTTTTGGATTGTCAGGAAGATTATGTGGCGTGTTTCCAAGTCTTACTTGTTTGCCATCTTCAGACAGGATGAGCCAGGGGTTTGCTGTATCAGGATCCAGAGTCACATCCACTGCATACTGCTGAATCCTCTTCAGTTTGACTTCAGGCAGCTTCTCCATCTCTTTATTCAGTGTCTTCTCCAGCTGAGACACAGCTCTCCTCACAGTCCCCACACACAGATCACTGTGAACACTGATCTCAGCGATTTCCTGCTCCAGCTCTTTAATGAACCCTTCAGCCTGGTGCCTCTACTGCTTTCTGCTTCAACAAGCTCAGTCTGGCTTTTCACCAGAGTACTGAAGAACTGCACGCTCTCTGCTATCTCTCTTGCTGAGATCTACTAAGAGTTTGATCTCTTTAACATTCTGCAGTCGCTCCTGGATAATCTGCTGCACTTCTGCCTCAGTTTTCCCCAGCTGAACCTTCCTCTCTCCACACTCTTCCTCTATAGGGACAGTGTCATGAGTCTTGTGGTCTGCCTCAGTGCAGAACTGACACACACATGTCTGGTCAGTCCTACAGAACATCTCCAGGAGTCTGTCATGCTTCTTACACATCCTGTCTTCTAGGTTCACCACAGGGTCGATCAGTTTGTGTCTCTTTAAGGGTGAGGCTATCTGATGAGGCTCCAGGTGAGTCTCACAGTAAGAGGTCTGACACACCAGGCAGGACTTTAGGGCCTTGCGCTTCATCCCAGTGCAGACATCACAGGGCACTATTTTAGGTTTAGGAGGGGACCCATCTCTACCTCTTTCTCTCATCCTTTTAAAATTATTTACAACCTCTTTGAAGGTTGTGTTGACACAAAGCTTAGGTCGTTTGGAGAATTTCTCCTGACACAGTGGACATTGACACAGGTCCTGGCTATCCCAATACTTTGTGACACAGGCCATGCAGAAGTTGTCAGACGTGTCAGACCTCTTACTGTGAGACATGAAGTGGTGACTGGCTCAGTGAACAGATCCAGACCGAGCACAGGAACTGATCTTCAGACAGGAGACTGCTGGAGGAAGCCATATCTAGAGAGAGCGCAAAGTCGAAACTGTAAAGCATAGTTGAAGTTCAACGTTTTTATTTAGAAAATTGCGGCAAACACTCTCTGGAAAAACTTCAGATCAAAATAATAAAAGGCTCCAGATTATAATCAATCAGTCAATAAAACATTATATATATTTGAACGGAGCCTATTCCATTTCCTGTAATGACTCTCGATAGTTTCAGTGCCATTGTCAACAGGGCATTAAGGTATACTAACCAATCTTGATTAAAGTTGTTTAACCATACAACATACAGTAGAAATTAGTAAATTTACTAAATATAGTTAAACATAGGTACTGTAGATAAACATTTTTTAAAACAGGAGATTACCATAAAATGTACACAGGTAACATTTCTTCACCCATCCTTGTAATTCTCTACTCACCTGTGTCTGTTTAAAACAGTGTGGGCACTTTCTCTGATTTTTTTTTTCTTGCTGTTCTATAGTATTAAAAAAAACACCGGAGACTCAGCGTAGCTGTTTTTAAGAGACTTTTCTGAAGAGTTTGAAGGTGTTTGCTCATGTGCACAACATACAGTAGTAGGTGTATCCCACCCAATGTTGCTCTGGAACAGAATTAACCCTTCGTATGGCTGATCTCTCACTTCATTCTTGATACATTGTTTTACCATTTAAAATAAAACAAGGTTGAACAGTTTAAACAGGAGTGTTCTCATTTTTTTTTACTGGTTTAGGTAGAAAAAGTGTGAATCAGAAATGTTAAACAAGGACCTATTGCAGGTGTATGGAAGGTTTTCAGACATCAACAGCAACCGTTCAAATTCCACATTGGGATGAATAGTGGCAGTCTTAGCAGATTTGACCATTTAATTAAGAAGCAAGAAATATCCCAGATTGTGCTTTTTAAACATACTCACTTTGACTTATACCAACCACCAGTTTGTCAAGTCAAGCTAGACAATGGGTGGAGAACTGAAGCTGAATGTATTTTCTGTTTGTAGGAAAATGCCTGTGCTCGCTGTATGCTGAAAGCCTGCATCTGCTGCTTGTGGTGCCTGAAGAAGTGTCTAACATACCTGAATCAAGTAAGTGTTCGATCAGAATCAGATTGATTGTCATGTGAGATGTTGATTATTCTTACTATTACACATGTTATATCATTGACAACAATCTATTTTACAATGGAGACTCATTCCAAGATGACAGCAATCACACATTGTTATTGATGATACTCCTGTCTCTTGTTCACCACAGAACGCGTACACGGCCACAGCGATCAACAGCACCAGTTTCTGTACGTCGGCGCGCGACGCCTTCGTCATCCTGGTAGAGAACGCCCTCAGAGTGGCCACCATCAACACCGTGGGGGACTTTGTCCTCTTCCTGGGAAAGGTAGCGGCCGCATAGCGACAGCATTTTAGGATTCTTTATTGTCAGTTCATTATTTGTGTTTATTTTACAAGCATTCTAATACTATTCAAACCCTCACGGTCGTACTCTTTTTTCAATCGCTCACTATCTATCTTTCTCCCTCTCTTTCTTCCTCTTTCCTCTTTTCTCCCTTTCCCACCCCCCCCGTTTTCTCCATCTTTCGCTTCGTGTGTGTGTGTCTGTGTGTGTGTCCAGGTACTGATCGTCTCCTGCACTGCGTTCGTGGGTGTATTGTCTCTCAACTACCAGCGGGACTACACGGTGTGGGTGTTGCCCCTGCTCATCGTCTGCCTGTTCTCCTGGCTGGTGGCCCACTGCTTCCTGTCTGTCTTTGAGATCGTGGTGGACGTTCTATTCCTCTGCTTCGCCGTGGACACCAAGCACAACGACGGCAGCCCCGGCCGAGAGTTCTACATGGACAAGGCCCTAATGGTGAGGGGACGGGAGGCTGGGTGGGAGACTATGGCTGCGTCACGATTCTCCACCAGTCATGGTTAAAAGCAATGGATTGGCGTAATCACAGATAATCCATTATATTGACCAGATACTCAAGTGGCCGCTCTAACAATAAAATGAAATGTCTTCAAAAATGGAAGGCAGTCGGGACGTGGCAAGAACAGGTGGGGCCATTGTAGCCAATGAGAGGGCAGATACGTGTGTGAACAACAGGCACAACTCCGATATAAAGTGTTTTTTCTCAAAGTTGCCGGGATGTAACATGTCCTACTTATATCAGTACAATAGTAACAACCTAAGCATTACGACACTTCTATTAGATCAAATAAGCCTCACGTAGTAAATAAGCCACACAATTTTTTGTTAACCACATTCGACGCTCATACAAAAACTCTTTGATTGATTAGCGAAAAAACCCTCAAAAACACCATCTGCTAGAGAAGACCCATTTCGGGCCCAGTTATCCCTCTCACTTTGCCTTTTCCTCTGGTGTAATCGTTGGCTAGAGGGAGTTTCCATGTTAAATTCATGTTGTGCCCACTTTGGGAGAAGGGTGGTGAATTGGGACGTAGCCTTTTACAGTATATGTCTCTGTTCCATTATCCACACTAACATTCCAGTGTATCAGGCCATACATTCTAACTGGTATGCTGGTGTGGATGGAACGTAGCCTTTGGTTTTACAGAGTACCACTTTTACTCTCTTTCTATATGGTGAATAGTCTATATGGTGAATAGCCTTGTTATCTCAACACCCAACACACACATTCACCCTCCTCTTCTTTCTCTCTCTCTCTCTCTTTAGGAGTTTGTAGAGAACAGTAAGAAAATGGTGGGAAGGGATCGGCCCGAGGCAGATGGAGACGGTCGTGAGATGAAGCCCATGGTGAGTTAACAAAACTTTTCCAACAGAGAATACATTCACTTACCTCCATAATCTAGAGTCATACACCCAAAATGATGATGCTGATGAAGACAATGTAAAGTTTAACACTCCATTTGTTTATTGTTGTAGACTCATGGAGGAGGGACTTTTGCTTGACCGAACCAAACCAGAAGACGGAAACCAAAAGGCACTCCAAACGTTTCCATGATATCACTCTAGTCCCAGGGACGACAATATTTTTGATAACCTGTTTAATAATTTATGGCACGCTTTACATAAAAGCTTAGTTTTTTTTTTTTTTTTTAACACATCCGTCAAGAATATTGTTATTGTCGTTTTGTGCTATTGTACAGGCTGTAGAGTTGATCTTTTTTTGTTTAGCTTCTTGTGTGTGGAAGTATTGTGAGAGATTATTCAAATGCATTCAATGTCATCACTGTTATTTTGTAACTACTACTACTGTACACTACAAGTGTTTGTATATCAATGTATTTTTAGATTGTGGTAATGATGATCATGGTTGCTACTTACGCTGCATTGGTACATCTAATACAATTGTGACAGCTAACTACCATAACAGATAATCAACAGGCAATTTTCTGTCTAAAAACTCCACCCCCAATGTCTTTTGACCCTGTTGAAAGATTTCCTTTATGAAAAAAAAAAAAGAAGCATTTTTGCATTTTGGAAAAACAAAGTCATAATTTGTGCAAGGTGGTTTCCCTCACCTCATTAACAGGATCAATGAAAAGCCCGCTCCCAATGGAGCATTTTACTGTTGTAGATCAAATATGAAATAGCCAGTGCTATGTACTATGATAAGGATGTTAATATTAGTTTTTAATATATTTCAAATGCAGGTCCTACAAGAACTGAGGTTGTGTTATGTCAAAAGCAATGCGTTACCAGAACTAAAAATCCCTATATTGTGGCAACATTGAGTCATTACCGCTTATTGAGTTTGTAATACTGTATCCATAGAAAAAGGAATTCTATATGACTGTATCTCTATTCCCTTCATGAGTTTTAACCCAGAATATTTTTGATAACATTTTTATGCAGAATAATAAAACAACAAAAAGAAGCAATGTCCACCTGTGTTTGTGAGAGCTGTGGGCAAGAGAGGATCAGTTCTATCGGGGACATGGGTTTGTCTCTGGATGTCATTAAGATATCCACTCAAGAGGGAGAAACATTAAAACAAAATACTGAATAATATATATATATATATATATATATATATATATATATATATATCCAACAATAAAAACATATTTCATGACATTCTTATTGTGATGTGTTAACTAGGAAATAGCCCCATATCAGACCAGGGTTCAAGTATTTGTTTTTCTGTCAAATACATTAGCTACACTTGATTGATCTCACCTGATGTAAAGGAAGAAATGGAATAGTCCCAAAGGTGCCAACCCCACCAATCTGGCACTCCAAACAACAGGCTCAATCGCTCACATTTTGTTGTGTTCCAGCCTGAATTTAAAATTGATTAAATTGAGATGTTTTTGGCACTGGCCTACACACAAAACCCCATAATGTAAAAGTTGAAATTTTAAAAGTTAATAAAAAATGAAAAGCTAAAATGTCTTGAGTCAATAAGTATTCAACTCCTTTGTTATGGTAAGCCTAAGTAAGTTCAGGAGTAAAAATGTGCTTAATAAGTTGCATGGACTCACTCTGCGTGCAATAATAGTGTTTAACATGATTTTTAAATGACTACCTCATCTCTGTACCCCACACATACAATTATATGTAAGGTCCCTCAGTCGAACAGTGAATTTCAAACAGATTCAACCACAAAGACCAGGGAGGTTTTCCAATACCACTCTTTATATTTTCAAGCATGGTTATGGGTATGCTTGTCATCGGCAAGGACTAGGCAGTTTTTTAGGATAAAAAGAAAAGGAATAGAGCTAAGCACAGGCAAAATCCTAGATAGGGGGGGTAGCAGAAGACTGATTGTACATGCACCTGCTAGGCAGGGTTTTTCGTTGTACCATTTTGGAAAATTTCCCCGGTTGAAAGGGCTTCCCCCTTAGTAGAAACCTTTTAATTTTAAATTGGTCTGGGAGGTCCTAATTGTTTGTTGCCCAATTTTCTTCATTTTTTCCGACAAAAAGGAACTTCTTTCAAAGACACAATCGAGTTGCATGAAGCCTAGCCCTTTTGATAGAAGTAGTGAATGATTGACGCTGTACCCCTCTTTTCTTAGACGTTCATGGTATATGTACGTTGACAAGCGCGTAAGGCAAGCTCAGAAACCAAAAGAGATTGATTTGAAAGCTTGGGTATTTGAAAAAAATTTATTTTACAGGGTGTTATGAAGACTTTGGGCGTTTTCAAAACTGGGAAAACGCCCCCCAAAGGGGGGGGGGGGGGGGGGGGGGATTTGAAGACGACTTTAGCCTGTTTGGACATTTAGTGGCATGTGGCAGATAAAAAACTGGTTCAGGGAGGTTTCCCAAATACAGATGGAGGGTAGCTGTCACCCTAGCAGTTTTTAGGAAAAAGACATAGAGCTAAGAACAAAACAGAGGAAAAGCCAGAATATACCTTTAGCGGACTACCAAGCCATGAAATTACGATAGTTGCTTACCAGATGAATGAGTTTGGGCCCAGTTACAGTTTTGACTTAAAATACAGCTTGACAATCTATGGCAAGACTTGAAAATGGCTGTCTAGCAACAACCAACTTGACAGAGCTTGAAGAATTTTATAAAGAATAATGTGCAAACATGTACAATCCAGGTGTGCAAAGCTCTTAGAGACTTACCCAGAAAGACTCAGTTGTAATCACTGCCAAAAGTGATTCTAGCGTGTATTGACTCCAGGGTGTGAATATTTATGTAAATTAGATATTTCTGTATTTCATTTGCAATACATTTGTGTGTAGATGGGTGAGAAAAATATATATTTTGAATTCGGGTTGTAACACAAAATGTGGAATAAGTCAAGGGGTATGAGTACTTTTTGAAGGCACTGTACAAGCAGCTCAAAAGAAAAGTATGTATTTGATCATATTCAGTCACTATCCTAAACCAACAACCAGCTTACAGTGGCTTGCGAAAGTATTCACCCCCCTTGGCATTTTTCCTATTTTGTTGCCTTACAACCTGGAATTAAAATGTATTTTTGGGGGGTTTGTATCATTTGATTTACACAACATGCCTACTACTTTGAAGATGCAAAATACATTTTTTTGTGAAACAAACAAGAAATTAGACGAAAAAAACTTAAACTTGAGCGTGCATAACTATTCACCCCCCCAAAGTCAATACTTTGTAGAGCCACCTTTTGCAGCAATTACAGCTGCAAGTCTCTTGGGGTATGTCTCTATAAGCTTGGCACATCTAGCCACTGGGATTTTTGCACATTCTTCAAGGCAAAACTGCTCCAGCTCCATCAAGTTGGAAGAGTTCCGCTGGTGTACAGCAATCTTTAAGTCATACCACAGATTCTCAATTGGATTGAGGTCTGGGCTTTGACTAGGCCATTCCAAGAAATGTAAATGTTTCCCCTTAAACAACACAAGTGTTGCTTTAGTAGTATGCTTAGGGTCATTGTCCTGCTGGAAGGTGAACCTTCCCCACAGCATAATGCTGCCACCACCATGCTTCGCTGTGGGGATGGTGTTCTCGGGGTGATGAGAGGTGTTGGGTTTGCGGCAGACATAGCGTTTTCCTTGATGGCCAAAAAGCTCAATTTTTGTCTCATCTGACCAGAGTACCTTCTTCCATATGTTTGGGGAGTCTCCCACATGCCTTTTGGTGAACAACAAATGTGTTTGCTTATTTTTTTCTTTAAGCAATGGCTTTTTTCTGGCCACTCTTCCGTAAAGCCAAGCTCTGTGGAGTGTACGGCTTAAAGTGGTCCTATGGACAGATACTCCAATCTCCGCTGTGGAGCTTTGCAGCTCCTTCAGGGTTATCTTTGGTCTCTGTTGCCTCTCTGATTAATGCCCTCCTTGCCTGGTCCGTGAGTTTTGGTGGGCGGCCCTCTCTTGGCAGGTTTGTTGTGGTGCCATATTCTTTCAATTTTTCAATAATGGATTTAATGGTGCTCCGTGGCATGTTCAAAGTTTCAGATATTTTTTTATAACCCAACCTTGATCTGTACTCTCCACAACTTTGTCCCTGACCTGTTTGGAGAGCTCCATGGTCTTCATGGTGCTGCTTGCTTGGTGGTGCCCCTTGCTTAGTGGTGTTGCAGACTCTGGGGCCTTTCAGAACAGGTGTATATATACTGAGATCATGTCACTTAGATTGCACACAGGTGGACTTTATTTAACTAATTATGTGACTTCTGAAGGTAATTGGTTGCGCCAGATCATATTTAGAGGCTTCATAGCAAAGGGGGTGAATACATATGCACGCACCATTTTTCCATTATTTATTTTTTAGAATTTTCTGAAACAAGTTCTTTTTTTCATTCCACTTCACCAATTTGGACTATTTTGTGTATGTCCATTACATTAAATCCAAATAAAAATCCATTTAAATTATAGGTTGTAATGCAACAAAATAGGAAACACGCCAAGAGGGATGAATACTTTTGCAAGGCACTGTATACCCAACAATAAAACAATATATTGAATTAAATTAAATGCTTGTGATTGTGATGTGGTAAATTGGAAATTGCCCCATATCCAGTGGCGACGCGTCATTCAGAGCAGCCCCTTGGGTGCTGCCATAGACTTACATTAGAAGTGCCCATCCAAGAAGGCTCAAGGTCATTTGCCACAGATAAAATGACGTCAAATCACGTTATAGCTACCGTAGCTTTGATTGCACTGATCATGTCAACATCATACTTTCAAAATCTTAGCTAGCAAGCTAGACAAGCAGTCATCATCATGCATTAAGTCGGCAGGCAATCTACTGGCAAATCCTTTTCAATCCTTGTCATATGAAGAGAAAATATAGATAAAACGTATCGGTGCTCATCGGCCATTGGACATAAAACATTACGCAACAAGTTGGAAATGGCAAATTCAACGATGAGTACTAAGGCGCCACTGCCCCGGGTTCGATCCTAGGCTGTGTCACAGCCGGCTGTGACTGGGAGACCCATGAGGCGGCGCACAATTGGCCCAGCGTCGTCCGGGTTAGGGGAGGGTTTGGCCGGCCAGGATGTCCTTGTCTCATCGTGATCTAGTGACTCATTGTGGCGGGCCGGGCGCCTGTAAGCTGACCGGTCGTCAGTTCGACAGTGTTTCCTCCGACACATTGGTGCAGCTGGCTTCCGGGTTAAGCGAGCAGTGTGTCAAGAAGCAGTGCGGCTTGGTTCTCGACCTTCGCCGAGTCCGTAGTGGGAGTTGCATCGATGAGACAAGATCGTAACTACCAATTGGATATTAAGAAAAAGGGGGTAACGCCATGGGCCAGAAAAATGTGAATACATTGGCCATGCTGTCAATCCAGCATGACTTCTGCATTCAAAACAACTGGAAACTCGGAACTGGGACATCTCAGACTTCAGTGAGTTCATGACAACTGGGAACTCCGATAAAACTAGCTCCGACTGGGAAAATACTCAAAATAATTCGGGATTTCGTGCCACTTTATAGAGCATACAAGAAGGACCGCCGGGTCACCTTCCTGTTCAAGTGATTACAGCACAACAATGTGAGTCCAAAATTGTATTGTATGCTGCTGCATAAATGATGTAATATGTCAGGGAGATATGTACAGTGAGGGAAAAAAGTATTTGATCCCCTGCTGATTTTGTACGTTTGCCCACTGACAAAGACATGATCAGTCTATAATTTTAATGGTAGGTTTATTTGAACAGTGAGAGACAGAATAACAACAAAAAAATCCAGAAAAACGCATGTCAAAAATGTTATACATTTATTTGCATTTTAATGAAGGAAATAAGTATTTGACCCCCTCTCAATCAGAAAGATTTCTGGCTCCCAGGTATCTTTTATACAGGTAACGAGCTGAGATTAGAGCACACTCTTAAAGGGAGTGCTCCTAATCTCAGTTTGTTACCTGTATAAAAGACACCTGTCCACAAAAGCAATCAATCAATCAGATTCCAAACTCTTCACCATGGCCAAGACCAACGAGCTCTCCAAGGATGTCAGGGACAATATTGTAGACCTACACAAGGCTGGAATGGGCTACAAGACCATCGCCAAGCAGCTTGGTGAGAAGGTGACAACAGTTGGTGCGATTATTCACAAATGGAAGAAGTACAAAAGAACTGTCAATCTCCCTCGGCCTGGGGCTCCATGCAAGATCTCACCTCGTGGAGTTGCAATGATCATGAGAACTGTGAGGAATCAGCCCAGAACTACACGGGAGGATCTTGTCAATGATCTCTAGGCAGCTGGGACCATAGTCACCAAGAAAACAATTGGTAACACACTACGCCGTGAAGGACTGAAATCCTGCAGCGCCCGCAAGGTCCCCCTGCTCAAGAAAGCGCATATACAGGCCCGTCTGAAGTTTGCCAATGAACATCTGAATGATTCAGAGGAGAACTGGGTGAAAGTGTTGTGGTCAGATGAGACCAAAATCGAGCTCTTTGGCATCAACTCAACTCGCCGTGTTTGGAGGAGGAGGAATGCTGCCTATGACCCCAAGAACACCATCCCCACTGTCAAACATGGAGGTGGAAACATTATGCTTTTGGGGTGTTTTTCTGCTAAGGGGACATGACAACTTCACCGCATCAAAGGGACGATGGACGGGTCCATGTACCGTCAAATCTTGGGTGAGAACCTCCTTCCCTCAGCCAGGGCATTGAAAATGGGTCGTGGATGGGTATTCCAGGATGACAATGACCCAAAACACACGGCCAAGGCAACAAAGGAGGGGCTCAAGAAGAAGCACATTAAGGTCCTGGAGTGGCCTAGCAAGTCTCCAGACCTTAATCCCATAGAAAATCTGTGGAGGGAGCTGAAGGTTCAAGTTGTCAAACGTCAGCCTCGAAACCTTAATGACTTGGAGAAGATCTGCAAAGAGGAGTGGGACAAAATACCTCCTGAGATGTGTTCAAACCTGGTGGCCAACTACAAGAAACGTCTGACCTCTGTGATTGCCAACAAGGGTTTTGCCATCAAGTACTAAGTCATGTTTTGCAGAGGGGTCAAATACTTATTTCCTTTTTTTAAAAATGCAAATCAATTTATAACATTTTTGACATGCGTTTTTCTGGATTGTTGTTATTCTGTCTCTCACTGTTCAAATAAACCTACCATTAAAATTATAGACTGATCATGTCTTTGTCAGTGGGCAAACGTACAAAATCAGCAGGGGATCAAATACTTTTTTCCCTCACTGTATACTGTAGCTAAGAAATTAATACTAAGTGTATGTTTTGTAGTAAGCTGTTAGTAGCCCATGTGTCTCACCCTAATACTTTGGCCCCTAACCTCCCTCATAATTTAGCCTGCTGTTCTGACTTGATGAGCCTATAGCCTGTTTTAGAGAAATGTAGTCATCGAATATTGTAAGAGTTTTCATTGTCTGCTTATATACCCCCTTTATTTATCCTACGGTTCTGACTTGGTGTACAGGGAGAATACTGTAAGAACGGCCCATGTTCTGAATTATGTTGCTGTACATTTCAAAAGTGCTGAACAAATAGTTATATTGACTACGTCCGTCCTAGCTCGCTCATTAATGTCTTAATCGAAATTACGGATTGCCTCTTATCCGCTCATCATTCCCTTATGCCATAGTTTGTACATCTCAATTGTCAGTAGAAACCACATTTGTTTAAGCAAGTCAACCAAATCAGCTATGTTTTTTAAAAGGCAGTAAATTATTCGGAATTAACTGTTTTGCGGCCAGACAAGGTTCCGCTGATAGCCAGGTATAGCGGTGGTAAGGATTCATTCCATGGTGCTGAAAAGAAAGCTCTGCTTTTGGGACAGCTTTATGTAGGCCCTAACAGTTTGTGGGCACTGTTGGTCACCGTTATAGTGCAATGAATGTATTGTTTAGTGTTGTGTAGTGGCTTTGCTGGCATGCATCAAAAAAATTAATATTGTTTGCCCCACCAAGATTTACATGCTAAAATCGCCACTGCCCGTATCAGTATTTTTTTCTCTCTGTCAAATACGTTAGCTGCACTTGATTGAGCTTCACTGGTGCAATGTAACCAATATAATAGTCCCAAAAGTACAAACCCCACCAATCTGGCACCATAGAAATAGAATCATTAAATGTCTATGTCTGGCACCCAATATACAGGCTCAATCAAACGCTCAAAGTATCTGAAATAAAACAAATACTATTTGAACTGAGGTCTGTCCTGAATCAGTTTGACTATTTCCTAACTCCATTTTCCTCTACTCTGTGGTGGACATCAGGAATAAATCCCAGCTGGCCCTGACCCCCATCCTATACTCTATGCTCCGTCTGGCCCACTACCACCTGGGCACCGTGGCCAAAGGCTCCTTCATCACCACCTCCATCCACAACCAGCTGAAAGGAAATGTACATCCTTTATCATCAGATTTAGTTAGAGAATAAGAGGTTTAGTTAGAGAATAAGAGGTTGAGAGAAACAGAGAATATTAGTATCACTTTAAAGCATAGTTTTCCCTCTGTAAAAGAGTTATGGCATTCTTAACTGGTATTACTTTCTTTAATTTATTTTAAGTTAATTCCAGCTGATTATCTTTACTGAAAATGAAGACTAACATTTATTATCCATGTTAAGATGTACATAAGTTTCCATTTCTATTTGAAAATAAGATTTCAAATGACATCTGTGGACATTCTAATCATGTGATGTCAACCTGACTAAATATACTTATTTGTAAATGTAAGTTGTATATGAGCTGTTTTGAAAAAAGTTCCCTCTCCCATCGTTTAATCAGTGTGTGTGATTGACAGGAGAGATAATGAGAGGAGCTGAGTTTTTACCACCAGCATTACCACTGGGGTTGAAGTATGGATAGAGTTTCTCTGTAAAGTTGCAGTCAGTGAAAGAGTAGATATGAGACCTGGCCTCCACATCATAAAAGGACACCTGACCCTCCTCATAGTCCACAAACACCCCCACCTTCTGGGGCATTTCTCTCAGGGAGAGGAGGACATGGGGGGAGTTACTGGCTTGGTACACATTCACATCCCTTAGGTACACAACACAGAGTCCAGCTTCTGGGCTAAGTGTAATTTTCCCCTTCCTGTCTATGGACTCTCTGGCCACTCCTAAAGTCCACCTAGTCTTCCCTTTAACTTTCACCTCATAGTAAAATCTCCCTGAGGAGAAGCCATCCTTTCCAAGATTGTGAAGTGTGTCTCCATATCTCACTTGTTTCCCATCTTCAGACAGGATGAGCCAGGGATGTGCTGTATCAGGGTCCAGAGTCACATCCACTGCATACTGCTGAATCCTCTTCAGTTTGACTCCAGGCAGCTTCTCCATCTCTTTATTCAGTGTCTCCTCCAGCTGAGACACAGCTCTCCTCACAGTCCCCACACACAGATCACTGTGAACACTGATCTCAGACCAGTCCTTGGTGGGTGGAGGGGTGCACATTAGGGATGGGAAGCTTTGGAGAAGTTGGAGGTGGTCCTCACTGTGGGAGAGCTGCTTCAGCTCAGTGCTTCTCCTCTTTAGCTCAGTGATTTCCTGCTCCAGTTCTTTAATGAGCCCTTCAGCCCGCCTCTCAACTGCTTCCTGCTTCTCCTCAATCACCTCCATGAGCTCAGTCTGGCTTTTCTCAATAGATCGCACCAGAGCAGTGAAGAACAGTATGCTCTCTGCTATCTCTCTCTCGGCATCTCTCTTGCTGAGATCTACTGAGAGTTTGATCTCTTTAACCTTCTGCAGTCGCTCCTGGATAATCTGCTGCACTTCTGCCTCAGTTTTCCCCAGCTGAGCCTTCCTTTCTCCACACTCTTCCTCTATAGGGATAGTGTCATGAGTCTTGTGGTCTGCCTCAGTGCAGAACTGACATACACAAGTCTGGTCAGTCCTACAGAACAGCTCCAGGAGCCTGTCGTGCTTCTTACAGATCCTGTCTTCCAGGTTCTCCACAGGGTCGATCAGTTTGTGTCTCTTTAAGGGTGAGGCTATCTGATAAGGCTTAGGTGAGTCTCACAGTAAGAGGCCAGACACACCAGGCAGGACTTCTGGGCCTTGCGCTTCGTCCCAGTGCAGACGTCACAGGGCACTTTTCCAGGTTTGGCAGAGAACTTATCTTTACCTCTGTCTCTCATCCTTTTAAAATTATTTACAACCTCTTTGAAGGTTGTGTTGACACAAAGCTTAGGTGGTTTGGATAATTGTTCCTTACACAGTGGACATTGACACAGATCCTTGCTATTCCAGTACTTTGTGATACAGGCCATGCAGAAGTTGTGTCCACATGAAGTAGTGACTGGCTCAGTGAACACATCCAGACATATAGAGCAAAGGAACTGCTCTTCAGACAGGAGAATGCTGGAGGAAGCCATATCTAGACAGAGAATGCAGAACTATAAATTCTTTCCTGGAATGAGTCAGCTCTCTATAGTTTCAGTGCCATTGTCAAAAAGTCATTAAGGGATACTAACCTATCTTGATTAAAGTTGAGATAAGTCAGTATACATTTGCTAATTTACCAAAGAATTAAACATAGGTGCTTTAGTTATATTCAAGGTTTATTGGCAGCCTACACTCATAAGGTGTATTGCCGCCACCTACTGTACGGGGTAGTAAGAAAAATACCCAAAAAACAAAACATGTTTTGGATGAAGAAATCATACTAATTACCTAAAATAAAATAAACACTAACCAAATTCACGCCACTACCCTGAATTTCAAACAAAACCTGTACTATTCAGATCCTTACACAGGCTCAAACCTGGGAAGGGGGAACCTCTTCATTCAGTACTCCCTTTAACATTTTGGCTGTAGAGTCCTGGAGATCCAGAAATCTATTTGCTGCCTTCACAATGATGTCAAACAAATAAAAAATCGAAGAAGTTAGACTAGTGCAATTTATCACTTGCGCTGTAAATGCAACAAAGTCCACCTTCTTCACTATTAGTATGTCGGGATCCTTCTCCTGCATGGCATTCACTGCAGACTGTGGGACATCCACTACCATCAACTCTCTACTTCAGCTATTTTCACTGCCTCCACATAGGAGACCTGCTGGATGACCCTGATCCTCCCTACTGCGACCTCCTTCATCCGTACTGATCCTCCCTACTGCGACCTCCTTCATCCGTACAGGGCACTCTGGGAACGTGATTCCCATCACAATTACAACAACATGCTTCATCTGACTCTTCAACTACTACATATTTATTCCTTCGACAAACACTTGCCACTAGTCCAAACTTTTTACAGTTGTAGAATGCGTACACAGCGACAGCGATCAACAGTACCAGTTTCTGTACATCAATGCGCGACGCCTTCGTCATCCTGGTAGAGAATGCCTTCAGAGTGGCCACCATCAACACCGTGGGGGACTTTGTCCTCTTCCTGGGAAAGATGTGTGTGTTTGGAGCATTGTTGTGATCTCTCCCATCAATCCATCTTAATTTTACAGAGCAGTTTGTGTGTTTTCTCAGTCACCACCACAGAAAGCTTTTGAGGAAATTGTTCTTTTGAACTTGATTATGCTCATTTCGCATGATCTTAAGATTAAATGTATCCAGAGCAAGTTACATTTAGACAGATATAAATTAATATTCAGATTCTTACAAGTTCACTAGATGGTACTATTCTCTTCATTTCACACCCACTCCCACTCCCTCTCTGTGTGTGTGTGTGTGTGTGTCTGTGTGTGTGTGTGTGTGTGTGTGTGTGTCCAGGTACTGATCGTCTCGTGCACAACGTTTGGTGGTGTGCTGGAGGTCAACTACCAGCAGGACTACACCGTGTGGGTGCTGCCTCTGCTCATCGTCAGCCTGTTCGCGTGGCTGGTGGCCCACTGCTTCTTGTCCATCTTTGCGCTCATGGTGGACGTGCTCTTCCTCTGCTTGACCGTGGACACCAAGCACTATGACGGCAGCCCCGGCTGAGAGTTCTACATAGACAAGGCTCTCATGGTGAGGGGAAGGGAGGCGAGCCTGGGTGGGAGGCTATTGCAGCGTCCAGATTCTCCACGGATTGGTGTAATCAAATCATGTAACATGTTATTTGTCACATGCTTCTTAAACAACAGATGTAGACTAACAGTGAAATGCTTACTTATTTTTCCAACAATGCAGAGTTAAAGATAAAAAATTACATGAAAAATTGTGACACGAGGAATAAATACACAGTGAATAATGAATAACAATAATGAGTAAAAATAACATGGCTATATACAGGGAGGACCAGTACTGAGTCAATGTGCAGGGATACGAGGTAATTGAGTTATCTATATACTGTACATATACAGTGAGGGAAAAAAGTATTTGATCCCCTGCTGATTTTGTACGTTTGCCAATTGACAAAGACATGATCAGTCTATAATTTTAATGGTAGGTTTATTTGAACAGTGAGAGACAGAATAACAACAAAAAAATCCAGAAAAACACATGTCAAAAATGTTATTAATTGATTTGCATTTTAATGAGGGAAATAAGTATTTGACCCCTCTGCAAAACATGACTTAGTACTTGGTGGCAAAACCCTTGTTGGCAATCACAGAGGTCAGACGTTTCTTGTAGTTGGCCACTAGGTTTGCACACATCTCAGGAGGGATTTTGTCCCACTCCTCTTTGCAGATCTTCTCCAAGTCATTAGGGTTTCGAGGCTGACGTTTGACAACTTGAACCTTCAGCTCCCTCCACAGATTTTCTATGGGATTAAGGTCTGGAGACTGGCTAGGCCACTCCAGGATCTTAATGTGCTTCTTTTTGAGCCACTCCTTTTTAGCCTTGGCCGTGTGTTTTGGTTCATTGTCATGCTGGAATACCCATCCACGACCCATTTTCAATGCCCTGGCTGAGGGAAGGAGGTTCTCACCCAAGATTTGATGGTACATGGCCCCATCCATCGTCCCTTTGAGGCAGCATTCCTCCACCTCCAAACACGGCGAGTTGAGTTGATGCCAAAGAGCACGATTTTGGTCTCATCTGACCACAACACTTTCACCCAGTTCTCCTCTGAATCATTCAGATGTTCATTGGCATACTTCAGACGGGCCTGTATATGTGCTTTCTTGAGCAGGGGGACCTTGCGGGCGCTGCAGGATTTCAGTCCTTCACGGCGTAGTGTATTACCAATTGTTTTCTTGGTGACTATGGTCCCAGCTGCCTTGAGATCATTGACAAGATCCTCCTGTGTAGTTCTGGGCTGATTCCTCACCGTTCTCATGATCATTGCAACTCCACGAGGTGAGATCTTGCATGGAGCCCCAGGCCGAGGGAGATTGACAGTTATTTTGTGTTTCTTCCATTTGCGAATAATCGCACCAACTGATGTCACCTTCTCACCAAGCTCCTTGGCGATGGTCTTGTAGCCCATTCCAGCCTTGTGTAGGTCTACAATCTTATCCCTGACATCCTTGGAGAGCTCTTTGGTCTTGGCCATGGTGGAGAGTTTGGAATCTGATTGATTGATTGTGTTACGCTATGGTTCAACCCAGCACTCAGAGAAACAAACACGACTAAGGGAGTGGAGGAAACAAAAATTATTTTAATAAAAGTTCAATTTGTCTTAGTCCAAAAAACAACTGAAGAAAAGGAACAGAGTGGGCTAGTCGGCTCCGGAGGAAGGAGAGGCTGAGGCAGGCAGGCAGGCAGGCAGGCAGGCACGAAGGCAGGCAGGCAGGGAGGAATGTCTGAACTGAAGACAAAACAAACGACAGGTTAAGGAGAGTAAAAAGCCAGGCTGAAGGCTAAGATAATATAACTTTACTGGTGAGCCAAGTTACCGCTCTAGTAAGAACAACGATCTGGCGCCGGTGGAGAGCCATGCCCAGGAATTAGTAGTGCAGGTTGATGAGAGAATAGGATGCAGCTGCGTAGGCAGGAATCACTGGAAACAACCCGCAGCTGCACAGGAGAGGCAGATCCTGAGCACGCCCCCTGATCCCCTCCAGACACACCCACATAAAGGGGACAAACACACATACAGATACAACAGACAAAGAGGGGACAAAACAAGGAGGAAGGGAAACAGAAAAGGGAGAGACAAGCTGCCCACATAACAGTACCCCCCCCTCAATGGTCGCCACCTGGCGACCCACCAGGCCTGTCAGGGTTGTCGTGATGGAAGTCCGTGATCAGCTGAGGATCCAACACAAAACGCTTAGGGACCCAAGACCTCTCCTCTGGTCCATAACCTTCCCAATCGACTAGGTATTGGAGACCCCTACCCCGGTCTGTATGTAAGAATAAAGTTAAACCTACTAAAAAACAGGGCCCATCTGGCTTGGCGTGAGTTGAGTCTCTTAGTGGCTTGGATGTAAGCCAAGTTTTTGTGGTCTGTCCAGACCACAAACTGCAGTTCAGCTCCATCCAGCCAGTGCCGCCATTCTTCCAGTGCTAGCTTGACCGCCAGCAGTTCCCGGTTTCCAACGTCGTAATTCCGTTCTGTGGGTGACAATTTCTTGGAGAAAAAAGCACAGGGGTGAAGCTTTTGGTCAGTGGGGGAGCGCTGGGAGAGGACTGCTCCCACACCTGAGTCCGACGCGTCCACCTCCACAACAAACTGCAGAGAGGTATTGGGGTGTATCAACACGGGGGAGGTGGAAAACAGTTCCTTCAAAACCCCTACCGCCTGCTCCGCCTCAGAGGACCACAGAAAAGGGACTTTTGGGGATGTGAGTCTAGTAAGGGGTGCCACCACTTTACTAAAACCCTTAATGAATCTACGGTAGAAGTTAGCAAAGCCCAAAAATCGTTGAAGTTGCTTACGGGTGGTGGGTGTGGGCCATTCCGTCACTGCCCGGATCTTCTCGGGGTCCGCCTTCACCTGCCCGCTCTCAATTATGAAACCAAGGAACGATGTAGACTGTTTGTGGAACTCACACTTTTCTGCTTTGACGTACAGCTTGTTCTCCAAGAGCCGTTGAAGGACTTGACGGACGTGTGACTCATGCTCCTCGGGTGACTTGGAAAAAACAAGAATATCATCCAGGTATACAAAGACAAAACGGTTCAAAAAATCCCTAAGAACATCGTTCACCATGGCTTGGAAAACAGCAGGGGCGTTTGAGAGCCCAAAGGGCATGACCAAATACTCAAAATGTCCCAGTGGAGTGTTGAAAGCGGTTTTCCACTCATCTCCCTTTCGGATTCGGACAAGGTGATAAGCGTTCCTGAGGTCGAGCTTGGAAAAAACTGTGGCACCATGCAGAGGTTCAAAAGCTGAGTTGATGAGTGGAAGGGGATACTTGTTTTTAACAGTTATGTTGTTTAAACCCCTGAAATCGATACAGGGGCGTAACGACTTGTCTTTCTTTTCCACGAAAAAGAACCCTGCACCCAAAGGAGACGACGAGGGACGGATTATGCCCGAGGCCAGAGAATCCCCAATATACTGCTCCATTGCCTCTTTCCGGTCGGGACAGATTGTATAAGCGACTAGAGGGCAAGGGAGCGCCAGGAAGCAGTTCAATAGGGCAATCATAAGGCCTATGTGGTGGTAGAGACAGAGCCTTGTCCTTACTGAAAACCTCTGCTAAGTCATGGTATTCTTTGGGGACAGATCGAGAGGAGCTGAGGGATGAGTTGGGTTACACTTAGTGGGGGGAACCGCTGATCTAAGGCACTCTGAATGGCAGTTAGTGCTCCAACTGAGAATGGTGTGACGTGTCCAATCAATTTGTGGGTTGTGAAGAGCCAACCAGGGGAAGCCAAGGATTAGGGAGGTAGCTGAGCCAGACATAACTCTTAACTGAATGCTTTCACAATGATTGCCAGAAATCACTAGGGAAACGGGGGAGGTTTGATGAGTTATCTCCGCAAGGAGGCGCCCATCAAGGGCTGTGACCCGAATGGGGGTAGGTAGTGGCTCCATGGGGATACGAGCTTGTGTAACGAACTGGTGGCTAATAAAGTTGTCTTCTGCACCTGAGTCTATGAGAGCTGAGAGTGGCAGGGAATGACTTTGGAAACGTAAGGTTACAGGTACTTGTAATCGGGGAATGACGGGTTCCGGATCTAACTCTGGGCTCGCAAGTAGACCCACCGTTACGAGCGAGCCTTGTCTTTTGGGTCGCTTAGGGCATGTAGCCAGAATGTGTGTGGCGTCTCCACAGTACAGGCACTCACCTGCCTGGAGGCGCCGTTGCCGCTCTGCTGGAGGTAGTTGAGCTCGACCCACTTGCATTGGTTCCTCCTCTGTGCTCGGGATGGGATCAGGAACAAGAAGCTGCCGGCTCCGGGGAGGCGAGACTCGAGTGGTTGAAGGCTGGGGAACTCGTCCTCCTAGATGTGGCCGACCGACTCTCTCCCGATGCCTCTCCCGCAACCGGTTGTCTAGCTTAATGGACAGGGAAACGAGAGAATGTAAATCATGTGGCTCATCACGAGCAGCCAGTTCATCCTTAATGGCTTCATTCAAACCGTTTAGAAATGCTCCTTGAAGTGCCACATTGTTCCACTTGGAGTCCGCTGCCAACGTCCAGAACTCAATAGAGTACTCTGCCACACTGTTAGAACCCTGCCTCAAATTAAAAAGTATCTTGGAGGAATTACCCACGTGGTCAGGATGGTCAAAAACAGTCTTCAATTTAGCAGAAAAATCTGCAAAAGTAAATCCAGTCAAAGTTTGATCTGAGCACACAGCCTCAGCCCAAACCAGAGCTCTCCCTCTTAACAGCCCCAGAACATAATGTACCTTAGAGGAATCAGTAGAAAACGACAGTGGTCTCTGCCGAAAAATCAAGTCACACTGAAGCAAAAATCCCCGGCACTTGTCCAATTCTCCATTGAACGGTTCAGGCGACGTGACTGGGGGTTCCCGACGGAACGAAGCCTGCATAATGTCAGAGGAAACAACTTGGGGTGCATCAAACTGGGGGTCAGAGAGAGATGGAGAACTGATAACAGACAATTTAGAGACTTGTGTAGTTAACTGAGTCACC